GCATGACTTCGCGCGTGCAAACAGAAGAAGCGGAGACACGAGCGCGAATCGTGTAATTAATTCGGACGATAAGGAAAAACAGCGTGCCTTTTGTACTGCGTTTAGAGAGCGCAAAACGCCAACATTAATTCCAGAGAATTTAACGACAGAAAATTTAACGCTGATAAATTATCTCCCGTTTATTCGCCCTAAAATTTCTCTATCGCCATTTCTCCACGAATTCGAACGAACTCTCGGAAACTATCAAGCGCGTCTATAAATACAAAAATATCCGAAAACGGGATAGATACGAAGATCGTATCGAACCGATCCTTTCATAATTTATATAACAGTCGGTCGGAGTAAAAATTGCAACCTCGTATTCTCATAGTCATAGTCTTTTCATCATCCTCGTTGTAACGAGGCCTAGTAGTTCGATTCGAAACGATCGGTGTTACGATCGGAATCGAACCATTGTAAAATGCTTCCTTTTATAGACGAAACACGTGCGTTAACGCGAGCGCTCGCGTGTGCGCTACGTGGAAAACGATTATGCAGCGAAACGGCAAAGAGTCGAACTAATTATCATGATGAGCTATAAAACGAGGCCGGATAATTTCCGTCACCTGTTAATTGGCCTCTAGCATCGCGTAATTATTTGAATTTCGCTAATCAACGCCCCGTATACGGCCGTCATTCTCCGTCTCCCTTTGGCTTATTATCGTTACCTCTCCTCTCCTCCTCTCCCCCCATCGTACTTCTGTACCTCGTCGAAAAACAGATTCGAGCGCGGGAGGGAGAGCGTATACTTGTGTTTATGTATGTGTGTGTGTGTATATATATAAATCCATGCACGCGGCAACGAACCGTGCGTCGATCCGCTCTCGAATTATTTACCGTTGTAAAACGTGGAAAACGATCAAGACGATTAACGAGAAGTACCTTTTCAATGGTAACCACCGTGAAATTTAATTTAACAAACGGATCGCGCCAATCTCCACGCTCTCTAATTCGATTGCGATTCAGCGAAAAGACACTTTACGCGGCGGGGATTATCAAGGGTGAAAGTCTTTTTCAACGAAAGCGAGCGAGCTCATAAACCGAGGCGATTAAGATAATGGAAAGGAAGATGAGGGTGACGGAAAGAGGAAAAGTGGAGGAGGAGGGAGGAGGAAGGAAGGAAGGAAGGACCAAGTCGTCTGACGTTCCTCCTCCTTCCAGTGAAAGGAATTCCGACCTTCCAGGATTTAAGACGCAATTTCCCTGACGATGTCGCGCGTTATCCGTCATGAAGCTCGCGCGGCGGAACAATGCACTCCGAGTAAAATTACGCGTTCCAATTACAAATAGATACGCGTACGAGAACCGCAGACAATTTCGTTCGTTTCGCGTCTCTCTTCATCGAGCAAATCCGCCTCGACTCCGTCTAATTCCCATCGACGAAACCAGAATTATTATCAACGACGCGATAACAAATCTTCGAATCTAGTATCGAAATCTATCGTCCAATAAAATTATTAAGACGGACGTTGGAAAAATAGGGAGAGAGGATTTCGCAACGGCGATATAAAATAATAATAATTACGATCGTCGAAAGGAATTCGTTCGATCTTCCGCGAAGAAACTCGTGTCCTTCGGCCAATGATGAACGCAATCGAACGCGTTGCACAACGAACAATCAGTTCGATGGCGTGAAACTCGGTATCGAAGCTCGCGCAACACCTGTATCGCCTCCCCGTATTAACGACGAGCAATTCTTACGTAAACCGTGGGCGTGCAACGATCACCGGGAGCAACCCAATCCGGTAACACGAGCGTACGCGATGAAATTATTGCTCAACGCGCGATCGCTCGCGTGGATGGGCGAATAACGTAACCTCGTCCGAGCGAAAGGATGATAAAACGAGAAAATCTAGGTAGGCTACTCGTAGCTGGGCGGCGATCCATAATCGCGATATCTCGCGTGGAAGGAATTCCGTAGATCCCGACGTTCGGATTGGCGGTGAGCAGAGATAACCGTGAAGAAAAGTGACGCGAAGTCGTAACAGGAGATCCCGTAACAGGTCGAGGGATTCGCTAAACTTCTACGCGGCGCGAATTTTTCAAACTAATCGATTGCCATTCCCTTCGCGAGAATCGATTAATTATGGATCGAAGGAATATTTGTTCCCCCTATCTCTCCGTCGAGGCTCCAACGATCCTGTCCACGGAAATCGGGATCGATCTTTCCTTGAGAAACAATTCTTCGTTTCGTCCAGGATCGTTCATACAGTGGGAGGGTAAGGCAAGAAGTGGGATAAGAAGACGAGGAAAAAAGTAGGGTTGAGGAGGGAAGAAAGGGGGTCGATACAATAAATCAGGATAAATCTGGAAAGCGGCGGAGCAATAAATTCGACTTCGTTTATCAGGCGGAGTAGTAACTTCTATTCGATTCCTCGCCGTTTCCAAGCCTTTTTGGAAACTTTGTCAGACTGGCTCTGGGCGGGGGAGGGGCCGCTGCAATTTTACCCCGTAAAACCGGAAGTTTTCCGGCGAAATCTCGACTTAAACGAGACGCGGGGAATCAGAGAGGTCCACGCGACACGGACTCTCGATGAAAATCCTCGGCTAATGTATTCCAAACCTCCCGATCCCCCTCCTCCGTCTTTCTTCTCCCTACAGTCGATCCGATGCCGGGTCAACCGGTAATCCACTCTCCTCCTCCGATATCCTCTCTCTCTCTCTCTCTGTCTTCCAAGACGTTGCACATCCCCTTATTCCGGTTCTCTCCTTCTAGGCCGCCCACGCATCTCCTCCTCCTGTTTTCGCATCTCTCGGAGGTAAAGCGCGAAAGGTATCGCATTCCTCGCATCACCCACGTGAAACTGGCAGCCAGTCGAGCAGAGAGGAGGAAGGGAAAAGGTTAGGAAGAGGGTATCGCACGTGCGAGACGACGCGTGCTACGTGCCGCAGAGAAATCGCATAGTACGGAAAGCGCGTGAATAAAAGAGAAGCTGTCGGGCAACGAGATGTCGGCGGTCGAAGGGTAACACACCGGAGTCGGGACACGTCCGAAAAACGGCGAGGATTTCCTTTCCTCCGACTATTCCTCCGAGAGCGAAACGCTTAAATAAAAGCTCGATCGATTTCCTTACGGTCCATTTTCAAACTCGTTCGTTCGGTTCTTTTGAAAGGAGAATTTCCCGCGAAAACCGCGCACCGATTATGCGAAACGCAACGAGTTGTCCGAAACCTTCCGTTCCGAGTTTCACCCGATGGGGAACGGATTTCGGTAAACGGCCGAAAATAGCTCGATAACGAATTCTCTGGCCGAATTTTTGGTCGCGCGAGCTTTTCAGACACGAGAGGGGGGAAATAACGGCGTGCAGGTGCATTCGCGCGCATAGAATCGCGCGCCGGAGAGCTGGCAGTCCGAAAGGCCTGGAGCGGTGCAACGTGGAGCCAAGCGCACCGCGGCGTATAGAATATCTATATATATATATATATACGTACGGGGTGGTCGAATGTACGGGAGAGATGTACGTGCACGCGCGTGTACACGTGTCGCGCATCGGCCGGAAAACGTTAAATGCAAAGTGCAGGCGGAGCATGTGCAACGAGAAAGAGCGCGCGTTTGCGCTTCACCGGGCACGCTTGTGTCGCTCGTAGCAGATTCGTACGAGAAACAAACGATAGCCGGTCACAAAGGAGGTAAAATAAAAGCGTGGAAAGAAAAGGCGATAGAAAAAAAGAGGGGGGGGGGAGGGAGGGAAACAAGAAAAGAGAGAAGGAAGGGAAAGAAGGCGCCATTTAACGCTCCAGGCAGCACACGATGCGCGTTTTCCTCGCCGACCTTTCACCCCGTGTTTCCTTTTTAGCCTCACACTTTTTGATAATACCGGAGACGAAGAGAGGGCGTACGATAGCGCGAGAATTCGCGCGGAAATCACACCTGTTTCTATCCTCGTTCGCGTTCAAACCGAACAGGGGAATCGTCGAGACTTTACTCCCATTCTAGCATATCTCGAGAAAAAAAAAAAAACACGAATGATGATGAACAGGCCCGGAATTATATAGCGGGATTAATTAGACTAAAAGGTTCGTCTCTCACGCGCGACCATTGTCCATCTGCCTCGCATTCGTCGCATCCTCTCTCCTCCTCGCGAAGAATCTCGCCACGCCACGATACAGTGGCTCGTTCCCGAGCAACGCGAATACCGTCCAAATGGCACGAGTTCCGGTTCAAAGACAGGGAATTCGATATTAAAACGAGCTGCAGAAACTGGCAGGAATCTCTACGTCGAAACTTAATGCGCCGTGTACTCGGGGCTAATTGGAGCGAAAACCTCGTTAATGTCCCCCTAACCCGCCATCCATCGTCTGGCGGCGAGCTTCCTACCTTCCTAGCTACTTCTACTTCCGGCCGAGCGTTTCAACGCTTCGACGACGCACGACTAAATGAATCTGCGTTTGCGTTTATACTCGCGTTTCCTTCCTTGAGCCGAGTGCACGGGCAGCATCCTGATTTCCGCAACGGCTATTAATTATCCGCGAATTAACGCTCAAAGGGGAACACCCGGTCGATGTTCCCGGATTAATTCGTTTATCGAATTCGGTTAAGAGAACGCCGCCCCGCTATTTACGAAGACACAACGTTAAACACATCTGCCGGATTATCAAAGCCTTTCAAAGAAATACTTTGTGGAAGGTCGCACGGTCGAGAGAAGAGAAATCCGTTACGTGACATTTAGAGATGTACCATCGTATCGTAGCCGTGTTGCTCAACCTATCCCGATCGTGTCCAATCGTGTTCCGATCCTCTTCTCAACTTAACCGATCGTCTTTTACTACCTTCGTTTTTTTTCACTTTCCAAGCACGAGCAATATCGATAACTATTTTATATATATGTAAGAAACCTGTCTAGAGAGACAAACTTCTGCGGATAAACGTGTACGGATACCGGTCGAACCACTGTCTCGGTCACACAGTCGTTTCGATCGCAATAAAAAAAGGCATGCAAACGTTTTGATAATTCACTCACCTTCAAGCTCGACGACCTTGCCGGCCCTCTTCAGCGCCTTCACCGCCTCGTCGTGGGTCGCCTCGCGTAGATCCTCCCCGTTTACGGCCAGTATAGCGTCGCCCACGTACAGCTGTTCCGTCGCATCCGCGGCCATCCCCTTGAAAATCTTCGAGATCAAGATCGGCATTTTGTTCTCTTTCCCACCCTTGATCGAGATCCCGAGACCGTTGTTGTCGCTTTTCACCACGCGCACGATACGTTTCTGATTGGCCACCGAGTCCGGCACGTCCGGATCGTTCAGGCTGTCCACGTTGTTGTTATTTATGTTACCGTTGTTCAGGGCATTGTTGCCCGTCGTCTCGCAGCTCTCGTCCAACGAGATGCTCAGATAATCGTCCTCCAACGAGACGAACACGCGATACCACTGGCCACGAACTTGCGTCTCTAAGACCCCGGCACGGCCGGACGCCGAGGACGAGGCCGCTGTGGTGGTGGTCGACGAGGACGAGGACGACGTAGCCGCGGACACCACCGAACCGATCCCCATCACTCCCATCGCTGAAGTCGGTTGCCCGCTTCCGCACAGCTCGACCATTTCGATTTCCTCGAAAACTGCACGCTGCAACAATAACAAAATCCCTTTAAATCCCATCGTCCCTCTTTATCTCTACCATATATAGATTGGAAATCATATTAAAAGTAATTTACGAAAGCACGGATCGAAGGTGTGAATTGAAAGCAAGGTTTCGGTGAAACTACTTTTTCGCTAAATATTTAAATATAATAATCGAGAGTTGGAATCATACGAATTAATATTTAGCGAGAGAGTTTCGAGTGGAATCGTTGCAGTTGATTGGATCTATCCGATCCAGTCTTATCGATACGATACGAATTTTAATAGTTTCCGATAGCTGTATAACGTAGCTCTCTACGTCATTCTACTACGTTTCAATTTCGAATCGAATTCATTGTATTAACATCACATCGGTATGTAAAATATTCTACCCGGGTATACATTTATGTTTATTGACTGGCTCCATAGATCCGATCTCTCTGCGCACGATTTCCTGGAAATGAAAGCGTTCTCCACGGTATTCGAATGCATACGTTATAAGCGTGGAATATTTCACCGACATTAGATTCTATCAATTCTTGCGGTGTTCTACGATTCTGGAAAAAGAATCAATACATCTTTATCTTTCTCCAAAGAAAACACATATACGTACACAAGATATGTACTTGACAGACGATCGAAAATTTTGAAAAGTTCGTCGATAATCGGTCTAAAGTAGGCAAGAAAGACATCGAGGCGAGGGTAAAAAAAATAAAAAAAAAAAAAACGAACGCTCAACGATCCATAGAAAGAGCGACAGGGATCAATTGCGTCGTCTGTACTCGACGACGTGGATAAATCAATTGTACTATGCTACGGTGAAATTCGTAATTTGAAAATAATTGATACTGGCCGCTGGTGACACGACCGAGCTCTCTTTACCCCTTTCTCTATCCACATCCCTCTCCCGGTTATGCCCCTCTTTTTCTCTACCTCGTCTATTGTTTCCATCAATCCATTTTCACTGGGCAACAATGGCGTTTACCCGTTAGTCACGGAAAATGTCCTACAAAACTGGGGACAACGGGTATAATTGCGTGAAAATTGGGAGCGGCCTCGCACGCTTACGCCAACTGCTGCTCACTTTTAATTAATTAAAAGTCCCGTCGTAGAGTTTTGTCATCAAGGAATACAGAAATATCCCTATTTCATTCACTATTTAAAATATAAATTTTTCCCTCTCTTTCTCTTTTCCCCCTTTCCTTTGTTTTTCCTCTCTTCTCTTCCCCTCTTCTTTTTTCCTTTTTCCCTTTTCTTTTTCTTTTCCTCTTTTCTTTTCTTTTTTTTTTTTTCGTTCAAGCAATGAACTTATGCGACTCACTCGGCCACGCGTGCTTTTATTTTCGAGTGGTCCACCATTCATACATATAATCCCGCTTGAATCCCGTTTTCAAGAGAAAAGAGAAAGTTTCGTACACACGTTTCGTGCAGGTTTATCAAGGCAAACACCGACAACAACAACAACAACAACAACGACAAGGTGTCTCCCCCTCCCCTCAAAAAAAAAGACCGAAAAAAAAGGAAAAATAACCAAAAACTACCCACCCCTTGGGGTAGTATTTTAGTGTCCGCGTTATCACGCGAATTCCTGGTTGCAGGGAATTGCGGAACGTATCGCGTCATATTTAACCGGCATGTCGCCCCGTACGAGATTTTTCGTCAGCTCTGGTGCGGCATAAATAATTTCCTCGGCTGGGAACCGTGCAAATTGGATAATTTATCAGCTGCGTTAAGCCGGAATTCGCGAAATTAGCGGAAAAAATCGACCGGAAACCACTGGATATAGAGGTAACAAAAATATATATCCACGAGGAAAATCTCGAAATGGAGCAAACGAAATCGCGCGACCGACCATGTTCGTTTATTAAGAGACGGGGGCGGAGGGGGGGAGGGGGGATTTTTTATAGAAAAATACGGGTGTATTTGTCCGTGGTGTGCGACGTTTATAATTAGAACGTTAAACCATACCGTTGCATAATTAATGTAAAATTATTAATTACCTCAGGCGCGCTTTACGCAACGTTAGCTGCTACAATTACATCGAGCAAGGGATATCGCGAACGTGGCAGCTAAATCTCATTACGACATGTTGACGGGGCCAGAATCGAGTAAATCGCCATACAAAGCCACCATGATAATGAGACTATGAAATTTATCTAAATTCTATCCCCTTTCGAATATTCGTCAACGATCGGTTCAACCATGATTCGACGAGAGATATTTATTATGGAAATTAAACAATTTTTTCGGATAAAATAGACACGTTTCTATTATATATTCTTGATTTGAATGCACGAACGTGCATTAGTCGCCCCAAGATCGTACATGTATCGTATAGAGAAATACAGAAGAACGGGGGAAAGAGAGAGAAAGATTTGAGCACGACGTGGAATAAATGCAATCCTATACTATTATATACATATACTAATATACACACTACCGACAATGTACATGATTAATGTACATTGTATCACATTTTCATATCAATTTTGTTCTTTACCTAAATCTGTCAGTGTCAGATTTCTAATAAATTTCTCTTTAAACGCGTCAATCACTCATATCGCCAAATGAAATTTAGAATTTCGATAGATTCATAAAAAAAAAAAAGGAAAAAACCAACGGTTCGATACGAATAATAAGAAATAATCAAGCGAAAATAACGAGGAACAAGACGAAGGAAGCGAGAGAGATATCTCTCGGAATGAAACGAATTTACGTTAAGGTTATATTAAAATTATATCCGTTTTAAGTAACGGAAAGGAGTATGAAGAATGCATGCATGCGTGGAAAAGCATCGGCCGTGGACGTGGTGAGTAAATTTCTATCGAGATCGCGAGATGAGATTGCGGGATCTGCAATTGAAAAACGCATTACACGTACACGACGGGGCGAAAATGAACCGCGAAAATGGAGCGCGACGCCAAAAACAGGGCGCGTTCTCACGCGACGAAAATTAAGAGCGACAACGCGGTTTTCGACCGAGAGGAACCGTGCAAACGGGGATAAAAAGAACGGGGGAAAGAGAGGGGGGGCGGGGAAAAAAGGATGGAATTCTGGTATATAAAGAAGAATAGAGAGCAGAGACGATTTCGGAGGGAAGTTTTTGGCGGAGCGCGCGAATGTTGCGGGGGAATGTACGCGACTAGTGGTTGGGTCGCGGTGTACCGGTGCGTGAAATTGGGTAAAAATGAATCGACGGCAGGACGCGGTACCGCCATTATTCCCGAAACTCGGTATCAGGATGTGTATACGTATTCCGGCTACCTACGTGACGCGTACGGATCAACGGGACGACGATGCAGAAAGTGCAGCCAATGTTTTTTCGGCTTTGGCGTGGTACACGTGCGTCCCCTGTCGTGTACTCGATAGATGTATAGGGTGGATGTTACGGAGGCGGGAAAAAAATTGACACGCAGCATCGAGGCGAAAGAAAATGGGGAAACGGGGGGGGGGGGGGAGTGTGAGGTCGACGTTCGCGATGGCCGAGTGTAATTAAATTAACCATTCGAAGGATCGCGTAATGTCGATTAATATTTTAGATTTCTCGTTTCGTTGTTCACCATCAATTTATCGTCCATCGTATTTTGTTACGTGTATAAAATCGGCTTTTTATCGCCGCTTTTCGCGTGCGAAACGCGTTCATACTTTTCCCGGTTACCATGATATCACGATAGACACGAAAATACCCGCGATTCTTAATTTCCATTCCATCATCGCGTGGAATTTCCTCCCATCGACTTAAATCCCCCATCTCTGTGACCATCAACGATTCGCATTACCTATCGACAACACGATACTTGTTGATTCAACACGGTATCTGAATTACAGTGATCTCAGAAATACAATCTTACATTTGCGATTACGTTCATCGGAGAACATTGTAACCAAATACGTCTACAAGCCCCCAATAGATTACGTACAACTGTGCGTACTTATATGTATATTAACCTCGGTCAGGATACTACTAGATGTACAATACGCAATACTCTTGGCATAGTATCCGAAGGCTATGTGTTAACGCGCGATACCTTTCTACAAATTTTATGCCGACAACATGGTTGACACCGAACAAGCCAAAATTACGCTTCCATTAATTCCGAATATTGTGCGAACGTGCTCATAAATATAATTTAACTTCGATTCGATATCATAACTTGAATGTTCATATCTATCATCGCGAGATCTTTATTAATATCTTTCTAAGGAAACAAATTTCCATCAGATTTTTATTTCTACATTTTATCTTTAATCGATAGCTTAACATGTTGCTTGATTAATCGATAATCCAATATATTATTTACAAAAATGAAAGCTTCGTTAATCGTAACAATTATAAACGTTTATATTAATTAAATAACTATGAAAAAAATTGTACTTATCAGAGGAAATATTTATCAAAGAATGGTCTATTCAGAAAACACAACAGATCGTGCTCCGTTATATCAAATTTAAACGTACGCACGGCACGCTCTGTCGGTAATCGGATAATAGCGTTAGCATCGTTGAACTTGCTTGTGTTTAATAAAAGCGTCGATATCGCGATCGTGCGACACGTAGGTATACGCGCGTGGCAACGTTATAATTAAAGTGTTTGTCCCTGAGAATTAGTCTCATGTGAATTCTACCGCTATTCATGTGAAGCATACGTCGTATATGTCTTTCTTTTGTGTGCATGGCCGTGTTCACGTACGAAGATAGACAAGGACGGAAAAAGAAGATGATCGGAAACATTGAAAAGCAAGAATAAAGAAAGAATGAGAGAAAGAGAGAAAACGCAACAACTGTAAAAATCGGGTCTGCCGGACGCGTGTATACGGCACTGTCGTGCCCCTCGCAAAAACCAATAACCTCGGCAAACGTCGGGCACCGGTTGTTTATGGGTTGAAAGAAGGAACAAGAGGTAGGATGGGAAAAAAGGACGGATAAAAGGAGGACAGAGAGTAAGGTGAAAGGAGGGAGACAGGAAAAAGAAAACAGCCGCTGCACACGAGAAACGAGGGGAGGAAACACACATCGTTCCGAGTTCCAGATCATTTCGTACCTGCAGTAACATGTCGATACTCTACCATCGTTCCTATACCTTTTGTCCAATAATTTTTAATCGTGACGACGTGAATCCAATAATTGTACAATCACTCACTTACTCGCTCACTTGCACGATCATTTTTTCGTTAACGAACATGAATTCGAAAACACTTATATACGAAATTTCACTGAAATGACACGAGCGTAAATTAAAAGAAACTGCGAACAATATGGCGTCGAAATGCTGCGAAAAATTAACGCCATCTAATATCCTAATTTCACGATCACGTGATCCTATAAAATAGCGGGAAAATGAGATGATGAAAGAGGGGGACACTGTACGCGATTGAGGCTGGTTTCTAACGAATCAGAAAAACATCGCCGAGATTATACTTGAAATTGGAATTGCAAGAATTTCGAAAATATAATGGAATAAAAATTTATCAAGAAGCAAATTGTAAAACGAGAGAAATTGAAATCGCAATATTTATATCATGAATTTAAAGAGTTTATATACTAAAGTTTCTATACTAAACTTTTTTTATGTTTAACATTTGAAATTTGTCAGAATGAGAATACGAATGAAATGTCGCCGCGAGCAAATGAAATTTTTTTTCTTGCTTTGATTTATATTAATTTTTAACTTATAGTATAATAAATAAAAAGCAGTGATTTATAAAAAGTATAATGCATACAAAATAAAAATTTTTAACGAAATTATTATATATATATTTTGATAGAGTGGAATATGTGAATGTAAAGAAAAAGAAAAAAATAACAAAAAATTCATCTTATTTATATCATATTGTCGCCTAAAAATATAATAGGAAAGGCAAACTATTTACTCTTGCCAGTTTAGAGAAGAATTAACATCATTATCACGTGTTAACACAATGCCAAAAATAGAAAGAAATCATATATATTAAATACGCAATATGTATATATAGATATATGTATGCTTTATACTATTATCGGCAAAATATATTTGTTTTGTCGACATACCTGAAAAAAAAGACGAAACAATGACGGTAGGCGAACCAAGGAAAACAAAACGAACAGAGGTGAAGGGGCAGGCGTGCTTCGGTCCAATGCAAAATAAACGTGTACGCTCGTTATAGCCGATGGCTTCTACGATGATTTACCGTTTTCCGCGCGTGTATGGGCATATGACTTCCGGTAGACAGTGGGAGGCACGATGCCTGGCCTGCTTTTCTTTCTTTGGTTAGATCAAAAAACTGTTCTCCCAATGTATGTCCAGTGCTCGTCCTCCGCCACCGTTTTTTTCTTCGCTTACGCCACGATACGCGTCATTTGCGGCCGGGTTAATACATTCGATGATCTGCGATAGAGTCAATGATATAACCGCCCGTCGGTTCGCCTTTCAACAGCCTCGACATGTTTTACCGGCCTTCTTTCTTTCGTCCTCGATTGGAAACACTCCGATTCCAAGACTCTCGTGAAAAAAACTCGCCTTCGTGTTTCTGTTCTCTATTTGCGATCCACTCTCCTCTCTTACTACACTACCGTCGCTCACTTTCGCCGTAGGAATCGCGTTTGTAACGACGTAAATTCTTTTACAATCGAATAACTGATCACGCGCGCGCGCACGACCGCGTCAACTTCAGATCGTAATGCCGTTTTTCGAAGCCTAAGTAATAGTAACGCCTCCTGTCTAAATATTCGGGACGAATGTTAGTCGTCCCGATCGTACAACACGCAATTAATTAGCCAGCCGCTTGACACGCCGTTAAACACTGACCATCCGACTAGAAGCACGAATAATTGAGATGACCAAACGTGTTCAAGTGTCGTTTTATTATATTGTTCCCACACTCCGAACGCGGAAGCAAGGATCGACGAACGTTATTCTTGCAATTCGATTTAAGACGTTGTAACGACATCGATAGATATCGAACTTCAATTAGACGCTATAGACGAATTTCGATGTATTTTGGACGATTCTTTTCAAAAAATTCAGCTAAATAAATGATCGAATTGTAACGAGAGAACGTGATGGACACTAACGCCAAAATTTGGAAATGGACGTATTCCGCGTTCCCCGCGTTTACATTTAATAGATTATCGGTATGCCGATAAACCGTCGAACCGCTATAAAACGCGAAATAATGTGTACGAAAGAACGCACGTCACTTTTAAAACCGATCACATCGCCAACGAAACGGTACCACGAACACCACAAAACAAACAACCAACTTCCGCGACGTCACGAGTCGTACTAACTCGACTAGCGGTTCGTCCAGCCCGGCGAACCTATAGGTGGCGCGGGAGGGGTGAATACTCATGAGCGCGATTCCAGCGCCACCGGCGGGAAAATTTTGAAACGTTGAACGCTCACAGCGTTCATCTTTATCGACGCACTTAAATTACACTTTGCATAATTTAATTAAAATGTCTGTTTATATATATGTATATATAGATGTAAAATGAACATTTAAAATGAATATTTTATTAAGAATAGATGTGAATAATTATTTTATAAATAATTTATTTGCATTTATATATTGGTTAATAGAATATCGATTTACATTTAAAGATGTCCAAAAAAATCAGTTTCTTTCTTGAAAATTTATATATATAAATTTATATATATAAAACAACGATATTAATAACGAGATTATGTTTTAAAAACTATATATATATTTCATACGTTTGAAATCTAAAAAATTAATGGTTCCGAAACCTATTAACCAAATTAGAATTGCATGAAGATTTTTTTCTCTATTTTTATTTATATTTTTTGATATATCTTTTGCGTTTTCTGCATTATATTTTTATTTTTATTTTTTTTTTGCACTTGCATTTGCAATTTGTTTCTTGAATTCTTGTATTCTTATTTTTTCTTTATTGTTAAAATATCTGAATGTACAATGTACGATCCTAATTAATTTCTGATCCGTATGCGTAATATATGCTTGTATCATTTCATTTGCATAACATAGAGGCCATTATGATAAATTGGTAAATCAATCACAGTAACTATCAAACTAAATTCATCAAATATCAAAATTTAGATTTAACAAAAATTGTTTTTGACAGGAGAATTGACACAAAATTACGAAAATAGAAAGAGAACAATTAAGAATAGATAAGCTGTATTTGAGCCTTGATTTATTTCCTATTATTAAAGAAGAGAGAATACTTCAAACAATATCGTGTCATTGTATCAATCAGTGTCATTAATTGAATGCTTTAATTTACCTCGCTATACTATATCACGGAGATAAATACGTCTAAATATTTTTAATAGATATTCGACGATTCCACTTTTCATTCGTTCACTTCAATTTTCTCGAAAACAAATTAATATTGCGTACTAGAAACAAAAAAGAAAAAAAAAAAAGATTTCGAACGCATTATTGTACCCCGATATTCTCTAATTCTACTTTCTATCTAATGAAACGAACTGATAAAAAGAAACACGGGCGCAACAGCATATCATTTGTTCATTCTCTTTGTCTTGTACATTTTAATTCATAGAAAGTACGGGGTTTTTGTTCTCTCTCGTGATATTACGGTAAAATTACATTACGTTTCATAGAAGAATCGGGCAACAAAAAAAAAAAAGGAAGAGAAAAGGATAGGAACTTATATAAAGATACAAAACGGGATTACCTTATCAATCTTACTCTCTGAAATAATCAAGACGTTTCTGCTCTTCTGAATTTCATTTCACGTTATCCCTCTAAGCGTTGCTCGCGCAAACACCCATACCTTACCTCACCCATTCGTTAACTTCGTTTTTTTCAGCATTATCGCAGCGGAATAACGCGAAAGTTAAACCCGAAATACATCATCCCCCTATCTCGATTATGATATTGCTGTTCTTCGAAAGGCAGATCGGTAAACGAAAGATATACGACAGAGCTTCCTAGACAGAGGGAAAAGTTTTATCCGCCGTTCCAGAAATATCAATAACTGATCCCTCGTACAGTTTCTATTCCAACGTGGAAATATACGAGCAGACGAAGCTATTCCGCCCTTCGTTCTCCTATCCTTGAATACCATACGGAACATGCTCGAATGTATCCCTTTCAAATCGGAGAGGATGCAACAGTCTCGTGCAGACGGACGGAAAGTATTCTATTCCGAAAGATGGCACGTGCCTTCACAAGCGTGGATTTACCGTTTAAAATTCAATTCAAGGTTGCCGACCGCGCCTTCCGTTTGTATAAATTTTCAGCTACCATCACCCTCGTTCTCGCGCGATCCGATTCGAGCGAAGAGTATCATCGTTAAGTCGAGATTATACTCGAGAAACGAGATCGAGGTCGGGACAAGAGTTAAATTATAATTTCCAAATGAATCGAACCGCGAATATTCGAGCACAATACTCGAACCGATACTTTCTTTTCTCCCTATCGCTCCTTACGCTTTGCACGCATCACGCTTAAAAAGCAGCGAACACGAGATGAGAAACGTGGGATGGAGAAGCGATTCGTTAACGAAAACGTTTTGTTCGTTACAAAAGAGGAAAGTTCGATTAACTTAAGGGCCGTGTAACTCGCTCGTAACACCGAATTGTATTTGTGAAAAGTTGCGAATCACAAGAGGGGAATAGAAAGCGAGAAAGAAGCTTCCATCGCTATCTTTGATTGACTTCTCCTCCTCCCGTCAAGCTTCTAGACACGCATAATTATAATTTTCCATCCTCTCGTAAAATGTACAACACGTCGCGGCGATATATCCTGTGCGCCACGTTTACCGGAAAATCATTGATCGAAATTGGAGGGGAACGGTCTATAAAATTATTCAATTTGATTGTACGTTTCACACACGTATGTATTAATTCCGCTAAATGTGTATCAGACCATGTCCCATCTCGATGCGCCGTTATTAAACAAGCTTTTAACGAAATCGCGAAATAAACGACGATAAATAATTTCTGTTATGTACTTTTTTATTAAAATCGGTAATTTCATTTCGCGAAGGTGTTACATTCTACGGACATTCTAAAGAACGAATAATTTCATCTTACGTTTCGTTTTCTTAAGGAGGAGGAAGGAAAGAGAAAAGAGAGAATGAAAAATACCCGAGTGCAACGAAAACCCTATTCCCTCGTCTCCTCGAAAGCCAAATACTTTCCAATTCCGGAGACGATCGAGACGACAGTGAATCTTCGACCGTGACTTTTTCACCGCGACGTCATGTCATAATTTCATCGTGGAAGGTAATACGAAAGGAGCAACTATGGCGGAAAACGAAGAGAGGGGAAGGCCGCGACAGTATGGTCTTTGCCGCTCGAGATTTATCGAAGCCGAACACCGATGCATTAGCGATGGAAGAGCACGGAAACGAGATGAAGGTAACGAAGCGAGGGAGGAAAATCGACGAGGGCGCTGGAGAAGGGGTGGAGGCGGCATCTACCAACCCCTCCAACTCTTAAACAGTTCCCTCTTTTTAAAGAAGACGTCTCTCTCTCTCTCTCTCTCTCTCTCTCTCTACGTACGTACGTTACGTACGTACT